CAGACACTAGTATTAAAGCTTGCAGAAAGGACATTTTATTTCAATCTTTACCATCTAACCTTCCTCCTGGCTCTATTTACTGCATACCTTGAGCCTATCCACCTTTTACTTTTTTTCACAAAACTGTAATGCAAGTAGTCCTCAACTTACGACCACAATTGAGCCCAAAATTTCCATTGCTAAGCAAGAGTTGTTAAGTGAGTTTTGCCCCATTTTATGAGTGAATCACTGCAGTTATTAAGTTGGTAACACGGTTGATAAGTGAATCTGGCTTCCCCACTGACTTTGTTTGTCAAAGGTTGCAAAAGGTGATCAACCGTCCTAAATATTAGTCATTTGCTAAGCATCTGAATTTTGAACACTTGACCACAGGGATGCTGCAAAGGTCATAAGTGTGAAAAATGGTAATGAGTTACTTTTTTCAATGGTGTTGTAACTTCAAATGGTCACTAAACGAAAGGTTTTAAGTCAAGGACTACTGGTATTTAAAATTTCTGTTTGGACTCCAGGCAATTCCCTATGACTCCTCTACAAAATTGTATTCCATTCCCATTTTGCACTGATGTTCGCCTAATCTCTAGCAGTCAGTAGGTTTTACTTTGCCACTAAACACACAAAATCTTCTGCTTACAGAATCTGTTCCTTAGGATTTTATTTTTATCCATTTTCCCCTGGCTTTGGAACATCAGAAACAGAAAATATGGCTTATTTTATACATATATATAAAATCGGCCCAAAAACTGTTAAGAGTGAAAAGTTGTTTTACAGATGCCAGAGAAACAAGATTTATTCTGGGATTTTTTAAAAGATTACAGAAAGTGCTGCGATACATCCATTGCATCTGATCTCAATAATCCAAAACTGAACACCAAAATCTTCTGCATGTTTCAAAGGATTTCAGATACATCTTTGAGGAGCTTGAAAAAAAATGGTTTGAATCAATCCATTCTGCCCATTTGGGATAAACCAACAGGATACTCTGATGAGGAAACAGTGATCCTAGATATTTCTGAACCATTAACTTTCAGAAGCCCAACCAACATGTCTGACAATGAGGATGCTGGGAGTTGTAGTTTCATATAAAACATTCTGCTTACAAATAAGTACACCTCAGTTCAGGTTTCTTTTTCCTTCTGTTCAATTGTGTCAGGTTCTCAGACACTGCCTGGACAAATCTCTACAGTTCTCGTGGCAAAACTTTTTCAGAAATGACTTGCCCTTTCTTGGTTCCTAGACTTGAGAGAAAGTGACTGGCCTAAGGTCATTCAGCTGGCTTTGTGCCTAAGGCGGGATTAGAACTCATGATCTCTCGGTTTCTAGCTTGACGCCTTAGTCCAGGGGTGTCAAACTGCCGGCCCGTGGGCCAGACGCATCATGTGGAAGCCGCGCCCACCCCATTGCCGGCAATGGCAAAACCGGCCCGATACTTTGCGTGACGTCACGTGACGTCGCGAGTTTGACATGCCTGCCTTAGTCACTAGACCAAACTGGCTCTCTCAATACAATATACAAAATGCAATAAAGAGCTTCTACCCCAAAGGTGCTTTTACTAAAAGGCAGCTGGACTTTGTGTTCTTTGTTTTTGTTTTTTGTTTTGAAAAATATTTCACTTTTCATGCAAGAAGCTGCCTGCGAAGCAAAACATTTTCAAAGGAAACAACAACAACAACAAAGTCCAATTGCCTTTTGGGACAACCATGACCTGAACAATTGAGAATCTCCATAGGCTTCTATATATTGATGGTAGGGATCTATTTGTATATAGAAACTGATGGGTTGATTGATTGATTGATTATCTGCCACAAATCATTGTCAGCTTTTAATGATCACAGAGATTTTTGCCATGACGATCTGCTCCTAACCTGGTCTTTCAGATTTTCTAACGCTGCACTGATTTCTACTGTAACTGAATCTCATCCTTCTTGCTGCTGTGGTCATCTTCTCTTCCCTTCCACGTTTCCCAGCACTAAAGCCTATTTCAGAGAACTATGTCCAAAGTAGGATAATTTCAGCCTGGTCATTTGTGCTGTGTTAAAACATTTTAACTAGTTATCTTCATCAGCAATATAGAGCAATGTTTTTCGCATTGTGTTTTGCAGAACTTAATAGAGATTCCATTAAAGACTGTGAGGAGTGAGGTTTATTTGAATAAAGTCAATATTTTATACTTACAGCTTTACCTCTTTAACAAAGGTCCTGAGATTATTATTATTTTTTTTAACTAACAGATTTTATGGCTTGAAAAAGTTTGAAAAACTGGTATAGTTCCATAGTATAACTCAGTGTTTCTCAACCTTGGCAATGGGTTACCTGGGGAATTCTGGGATTTGAAGGCCACACATCTTAAAGTTGCCAAGGTTGAGAAATACTGGGGTAACTTGGTCCAGACTTCAACAGCACATATATGAAATGATGGAAATATTTTTACAACTTTGAAGACAGGAATGACAAGGAAGCCCTAACTGCATTTTAGTTCTCTTACATGAATGCTTAAGAACGATAGATTTCTTTGATAGTCTCAAACTTGTTGGAAATTTATTTCTGTTTTAATTTCTCCTCAGCAAACTCCCAGTTAATTCCTATACTGTAACCAAATCAGAGTAAACATGCATGTTGCTCAGCACAACTAGCTAAACATAACTAGCTGGATGCTTATTTATTCAATGTGAGCTAGTATTACAATCAGGTAACTGGCAAAACAGGACAAAAGGCAGTTAAAAGCAGGGAGAGAGATATAAACAGGAAAGCGAGAAAAGGTCAGGTGATTTAATAAAGACAATCTATATATCTTTATCTAAATGCACCAAACTTTCCAGGGTTGCTGGAAACCATTCTGTTGCTAATTAGCATGGCTGGTTCCAAGGGAGCTTTAACCCCTTTTGGTACATCATGGAGCAGAATAAAAATGAAAGGAGGACACCAGGTGATCTTTTCTCTATTCTTCTCCATGAAGGAAAAACTTAGGATGTTATAGCCAACATCCTTATCAGCTCCATGTACTGAATTATGTACTCTAAAGGGTGGTACCACCATTCATCATTTCATGCTTTGAGTCCCAATGGTTCTTTCAGCCTGACAAAGTGGTGCCTTGGCAGTGGCCTGGTAAGTATATTTGCCACCTTGTCATCAGTTGGGCAGTACTTCAATTTTTATTTTTTCTTTTGCTTTTGAGTCAGTCTTGACTCCTGGCACCTGCAGTTTTGTTGGCAAGATTTCAGAAGTGGTTTGCCATTGCCTGCTTTCTAGGGCTGAGAAAGCATTGGCCACCCAGTTGGCTTTGTGTCTAAGGCAGGACTAGAACTCATGGTCTCCCAGTTTCTAGCCTGGTGATTTAACCACAATACCAAACTGCCTCACACTTCAGTATTATCTGCCTCTTTTCTTGTATGTCCTTCACACTGCAGTTCAATAGCTACATGTCTCATATTGGGTCTGGACAGCTTGGTATCTGCATTTCCTAAAGCTAGATTTTCCATGAACATCTGTTGTTTTAAAACCCACTTATAAAAACACACTTTTTGGCACTTTTGTAGCTCTGTTAGAATCCATTTTTGTTTTAGTGCAATAATTCAATTGTTTTCCATGAGTTGTGATCACGTACACCCCTTGTCCAATTGTGCAGCACATTCTACCAGAATTTAGGATTCCTTTGTAAAATTTCTGAGATCTTTATAATTCTAATTCTAGGTGTCAGCAGCCCTTCAGAAAAATGTTACTACAGGTAGTCCTCATTTTGTGACCACAAATAGGATACACCACACCATTGCTAAGCATCACAGTTGTTACGTGAAACATCACATGATGATAGACTAATGACCTGACTTCCGCTGTGTCGTTAAGTGAATTACTCAGGCTCATTAAATGAGACATCATATAACTGCAACTTATGATTTTACTTCCATGTTTTCCATTATCTCTGCTTGTACAAGTTGTTTGGGAAACACACAACTGGCAATCTTGTGACCATGGGATGCTGAGACAGTTGTAAATAAATGCCTGTTAGTTGAGAAGCACCTGCATGTTGATCACATGAATCTGGTAATGTTGCACAGGTCTTAAATGCAAGGACAAATCCTAAAGTTACTTTTTCAGGTCTGTCCTGACTTCAAACGGATACTAAATGAGACAGTCAGTCTTATTTAGTATCCATAAGATTATCTGGGACACACTACACATCCTCTTCACGACCTGTTTTCCTTGTTACCTTCTGGGAGCCGCAGAACATCCGTAGCAGAACATCCAGATTCAGCCATAGTTTCATTCCATACAGCATTAACCTTGTGAAGTCTCAAGCTTCCTCCTTCCGTTATATATTCAAGATGGACAGTATTTAATATTTATTTGCTACGTATATGTAGGGGTGTGGGTCTATACATATGTTGTTCATAATATGTTTAGGTTGTGTCATGTATGTGTTTCACTTTGAGAGCGGGCAACTAAATTTCATTTTTGATGTGTGCCATTGTGCCCACAGTAAAAAAAATGACAATAATGGTGCTCCAGATGTTGATGTTGTTTTTCCCTTTTTGCTTCCTGGGTAGATTCTGAGTTCCATACATCAAACTAGATTGGCTTGCATTAGTATTTACAGACTGCAAGTCATTTGGGGATACCCCTTTTTCTTCATTAAAATGAGAAATGGATGTGTTTACGTTTCCAGTTTTTAAGTCCAAAATCTGTAACCTTTTGTTCTTATGCGATAGATAGTACTATTTCTAACTTCTGTAATTTATTCCTTTTTTTCCTCTAAGGATGAATGTCTACACTTGGCAACTAAATGCCATGATTATTACAATGCTTGCTCAAGGAGTAACTGTGTTGACTTGAGTTCTTGAAATTTTGCTGTCAAGTGCTTAGAGAACTTCATTACAATTCTAGTAGCGCTTGATATATAGCTATTCAGTATAGAGCCCCAGTTGAGCAGCCCTTATTTTTAGCCACACTGAATTCACTGGTTACTGAATTATAATAAAAAAAATAATGTCTTCTATTTCTTCTAGCTATATTTCCTGTCTTCTTTGACTGTTGCACAGAAGTAGCCAATCACATCCCCAGAAGATGGTTAAGAAGAGTGGTGAAATTTGAGATCCAAAAGAGTGATGATTTATGCAGAATACCGGCTGTGATGTAAGTGATACACAACACACACAATTGTACACCACATATACATGTACATGCATACCCAACAACAGGATATTCCAACAAAATGGATATCCATGAGACTTCATCAAAAAGTGCCTGACCACTCAATCCAATATAGCACAACCAACACAAGCTGTAAAAAAGATAACACTACCATACATCATAAATATTTCAGAAACCACCAATAGACTATTGCAACCATGTAGCATCAGTGTAGTACACAAACCAAATAAAACTCTCCAAAACTTCCAAAGTTAACCAAAAGTCCCAGCAGCCTAGAAGAAAAAACAGGAGCTACCTATAACATACAGTGTAAAGGCTGCAACAGCACTACATAGGACAAACAGGCAGAAGACTAGGAGAATACATCCACAACTAACAGTCATAAGACATGATAAAATCTCTTGAGTTTCACAACACATGAACAGACTTAGCCATAGTTTCAACTGGGAAACTGTGACCATCCTAAACCAAGCCAAGTCCAAAAAGCTGGAGAATTCCTGGAAATAATTAACAACAACAACAACAACAATAAAGTTGGAAGGGACCTTGGAGGTCACCTAGTCCGACCCCCTGCGCAGGCAGGAAACCCTATACCATTTCAGAGAAATGGCTGTCCAATCTTCTTAAAAAATTTCAATGTTGGAACATTCACAACTTCTGGAGGCAGGTTGTTCCACTGATTAATTTTAAGTTAAGTTTGGCACTTTGACAAATCGTCCATTGATAAGCACATAGACATAAACCATATCTATGTACCATTCAAAAGAGACAATCTACAAGCCAAAAAGGGAACAAAAAGACGAAAACACCTGCCACCAGTAATCAGCACCTAGATGAGCATAGATTGACTCCAAGATTAACATCAGACCAACAATCAAAAAGTAAACAATACCCCAATCAAGGATCTGCCAAACAAGCTAACCTAAACAGCCCAACCAAAGAACCACCAAGACCACTCCCACCAATAGGGCTAGGCTAGCCACTGGAATATAAATTGAGAGCAAACCACATTCTTTAGTAGCACTGATGATATTATCTAGCTTGGGTAATGAGACGTCTGCAAGGAAACAACCAAGCTCAGAAAGCACCAAGGACTTTTGTGCTTACTACCAAGCATTAACTTTGCTTTCTTTTGCCACAGTCATTATCCTTCTACATTTTTTTTTTGTATTTTGAGACTTTCTTCAGTTCGCTTTCTTCTTTTCTGCTCTTGCCAAGAACTGTGACATCCACTGTCCACACATTTTTGTCCTTTTTATGCATAATTGTTAAATCTGGGTATTATGTGGCAAATGCTTGTCTCTTTGAATTCTAAAGTCACTCTAGATTCTTTATTGTCTCTTACTTTGTCTATTTTATGGTCCCACCAGTTCTTGACTGCAGACAAATTATATTCTTTGCAGATATTGTTATTAGTTCTTTTTAAAATCTTTTTTTTCTCATCCTCATAGCCTTCACACCAGGCGCAAAAAGCTATGTGTAAGTCCATTGAATAAAAATGTGAAGAGATGGATGAAGCAAATGACCAGGTGTTGCCAGAGAAGTGATCCAGAAATCTGGAAAACGAGAAAACTCAGAAGAGGGAGGAAAACTATGAGGAAAGATCACATATTTGCTATGTGCAAGAAAGATGCTGCAATCTGCACCATGCAATAAATATGATAAAAGTCTCAGAATAATGGATCCCATAAACATTTTAACTTGTCTTTCATTTAAAACTCCTTCCTGAAAAGACTACCACAGCTGAATGTTTCCAGGTAATGGCCAGGTCCACAAATCATAAAATTGTTCTTAGTTTGCACATTCTGTTTAAGTCATGACCTGTGATTGATAAAGCACATTGTGTAGGGTCATATAAGATACTAACCATCATACGATCATTGATTTTGCTTATACAGGTAGTCCTTGACTTACAACCATTCATTTAGTGGTACTTCAAAGTTACAATGGCACTAAAAAATGATTTACGACTGTTGCAACCTGAATTAAAGTAACTAGAAGAATAAATTGTATAGACATGGCAGGAGCCCTACAAATATATCAAACACATTAGCCCCGGATCAGGGAACAGAGCCCGGGGATAAGGACTTCTTGGATCCACAAGACAGAGAGTGGGTATCATCCTTAACTCTGGGGGAAGGATGATATTCTAGAGCAGGCATGTCAAACTTACAATGTCATGTGACGTCGCGTGACGTATTGCGACTTTTTTCCCATTGCTGGCAATTGGGTGGGCGCGGTTTCGGCGTGATGCATCCGGCCTGCAGGCTGGCAGTTTGACATGCCTGTTCTAGAGCGTGTGGATGAGACAGAGAAGGCAGACTTCCTAGGCCCCATATAATGGCAATGCTTAATAGACTGGATCTGAAATGTCCCCACTCTAGCCAAATATAGCAGACAAGCAGAAACAAAGGGGGATAGGTACTCAGATAACTAGGCTCTATGCCAGGGGTGTCAAACTGCCGGCCCGTGGGCCGGTTTCATCATACCGGAGCCATGCCCACCCCATTACCAGCAATGGCGAAAAAGCTCCGATACGTCGCACAATGTCACGTGACGTCGCGAGTTTGACATGCCTGCTCTGTGCCATGTTGCACACACATACACTTTTGCAATTGATAGCTTAAAGATGAGAACAACTACACATCTGTGATCAATTGCAAAAGTGTATGTCCTCCACACGTCTCCCCTTACCACTGATTCCCTGTTTCCATGACACTCTTTCCCATGCTGCCACTATTAAAGGTACACAAATAAAAATTGCTATCACTATCTATTAATCCCTGGGAGATATTAAGCTTGGTTAGGGATTCAATCCCAAAGGGCCAAGTCTAAGGTGGGGAGAACTTTGTCTTCTTTCTTCTTTGCTTCCCTCATCTTCCCCACCTGCATTCAGCCTGTAAGCCCTATGGCCATGGGGATGCCTCACTCCCCAGTAGGAAAGGGAGCAGGTGAGCAAAGCAGAGAAATTCCTTGTTTTCATCACATGTTCACTTTATGTGCAAAGCATCCTGTCTTCCCCCAGTCCCTCTGAGCAGCTATATCAATTCCCATCCTCAATGCTCCAGCCCTGCTTTGCTCCTAGCATCTGCTTCTGCATCATCTCCATTCCCCAATTGTTCCCTTTAAGATCAAGAATATAAGAAAGATCACCCAGCGTCTGACTTTCCACCACTAATCTGCTGCTGTTATATAGTTATGTTGCATAAAAGGGTTAAAACTGAAGGTGACTCCCTCTGAAACACTTCATGATTATTGTTTCCAGAGGCTTGGGAACGTTTTGTCTCCTTTTGATATAAATAATATGAATTATTGCTTATTTGTCTGTCTCTATTTCCCTGCTTTTGTCTGCCTTTTAAAGCATTTTACCAGTTCACTGCTATTTTAGGACTGAGAACAAGTAAACATAAAGCTATATTTTTTGCTGGCTGTATTGAATGGTGTGTGCACTTGCTCTGATCTGTATATAGGCTGGGAGCATGTTGGGTATAAACAACACTGGAAATTAGAGACAGTAATGTTCCAATTCAACTTAGAGCAATTGTAGAATAAATTAGTCTATGATGCTGTTTAAATAAAGGTAGCCAAGCTGTGTTGAGTCTCTCAATGACAAATGGCAGAGACATTTAGGCCATAAACAAAAATATACTCTATTAACAACAGAGCCAGTTTGGTCTAGTGCAGGGGTAGGCAACATCGGGTCTTTTATGACTCATGGACTTCAACTCCCAGAATTCCTGAGTCAGCTGACTCAGGAATTCTGGGAGTTGAAGTCCATGAGTCATAAAAAAGCTGAAGTTGCCTACCCCTGGTCTAGTGGTTAAATCACCAGGCTAGAAAGCAGGAGAACATGAGTTCTAGTCTCACCTTAGCCATGAAAGCCACAGGGTGACCTTGAGCCAGTCACTCTCTCTCAGCCTAACCCACCTCACAGGGTTGTCATTGTATGGAAAATAGGAAGAGGAAGGTGTGTTGGGTATGTTTGCCACCTTGAATTATTTGTAAAAATAATAAAGGCTACTAATAAAATAATAAAGGATACTAATAAATAAATCTCAATCTGAGTACATACACCACAGCCTAAGATGGCGCTTTATACATAATTCATTCTAATGCAATGTATTAGTAAAAGGCGTGGAAAATATTCAATGCCACTGAATATTCCATGTTTTCTTTATTCATAGGGTTGCCAGGTGTCCACTATTTGAGTGGACAGTCCACTTTTTTCACATTATGTTCACTATTTTTTTTCACAAAATAGTGGACATTTTTTTTATTCAAAAGCTTTATGATGAAATGGTACGTAATCTAAAGCTGTACAGTCTACTTTTTTTACTACTTAGCCCCCCCCCCCGCTTGTCCGCTATTTTTTGGAAGCAGACCTGGCAACCCTATTTATTCACTGTATGTAACAAAAGTAAAACTGTAGCACACAAGCTAAACCAGCTGCATTTTACAAAAGCTTTATCATGCAATGACTGTCATAATCTTCTTCTTTAATCATATATCTCATTCCCAACACAGGCTGAACAGCCTTTTGGAATTTCATAATCCATGAGAAAAGTATTATTTTCCTTCTGAAAACAAGATTATCTCACCACCATTTCAGATCTATAATATTTTGCCATTATTATCTTTGGGGTGTGGCTAGAATTTATATGACCCAAAATGGGTTTGAGCATCTGGTGAGATTGAGATTATGCTCCCTCCCTCTGATCATTAGCCAATTCCAGCACAACCATTTCTCTTGCAGTATTTGTCCCCTCTGTCAATGTTTTGTTTCCTGAATTCCTCTCATATCAATCATCTCCTCCCCTGGCTATTTTTGAAATCAATTTTTCTCCAGGCTTTAAGCCAGATAAGGAGGGGAAAGCAGATTTACACTGTTTTATATGATGGGGGGGGGGGCAGTGGTTTATTTTCTAATTTGTATTTGTAAAATTCTAAAATGGTAACAATGGAAAAAAATTTGTTCCTTTTACTGCAGTTGCAAGATAGCTTTTCCTTGCTGCCTGAAAATAATGAGAGACATAATACTGGGTGCTATTATTTATCAATCACAGCCACTTCCCTACTCGTGATTAGGCCTGAAGTTGCCTCAGTGGCTAGAGGTTTGGTTTTATCAGTGTACAGACCTAGCTGATACATGATCATGTTCAGGTCTGTCTTCTTTCTCTCTAGAGTTGATTCTGCCTTGATGTGTCTTTTTGTGTTTTGTCTATATTGTCCACGTTACAGTCTTTCAAGTATTGCTTAATTAATTATGAAAACAGTCTTGTAGGTGCATATTTATGATTGGAAACCACTTTCCCATACGTTTATTTTCCATCATTTTGAATTTGTGGGATGATTAGATGGGATGTGTGAAGTGACACAAGGGGAAAATATTCTTGAGAAGTTCAGGAAAAGTTCCAAAACTGTACAATTGCATAATAACACCAGTCCCATCTCATTCATACTGCAGGAACCTTCCTACCTAATGTGTCTCCACTGACTTGTGACATGCTAAAGAGAGATAGCAGCAAAGCCCACACAGAGAACCAATCACATTGCTTATAACCAGTGGCGCCAGTATTTCCTGGTGACTGCTGGACAAGTCCCTGCAATTTTTCTGGCAAAACAGAAGCAATTTCCCTTTGTCTGCTTCCTAGGGCTGAACGATTGTGATTGGTCCAAAGTCACCCAGCTGGTTTCATGCCTAAGGCAAGACTATAACTCACAGTCTTCTTGTTTCTAGCCTGGTGCTTTAACCACTACATCAACTTGGCTCTAACTACATATTGTGGAAATTCAAATCCAACACATGAAGTTGGGGAATATTTATTTAGTCCAGTGGTTCTCAACCTTTTTACTGCCGCAACCCCAACCGGTCGTAAGTCGAGGACTAAACCGGTCGTAAGTCGAGGACTAAACCGGTCGTAAGTCGAGGACTACCCAACCGGTCGTAAGTCGAGGACTTTCCCTACCCGGGAGTGCCGCACATGCGTGGTTCCGCCCCCTGTGCTGGCCGAGGCGTAGCTGGCAAGCGGCAGAGACGGAGCAGGCCGACCACCAGCTGGCCCAGCCCAAGGGAGGTAAGGCACCCGCCGGAAAAGGGAAAAAAATGGCAGACAAAAAAATGGCGGACAGCCTTGCTTGGCGACCCCCGTGAAATGGTCGATTGACCCCAAATGGGGTCCCGACCCACAGGTTGAGAACCACTGATTTAGTCCAACTTTCTGACTTCAAAAGTAGCTAGTGATGTGCTTTGTGATATCAGCAGAGGCAAGGAGTTCAAAGCTCTTTCACAAAAAGGCGTAAGAGTGTCTGATTTGCAAAACTAAAAACAACACGTCTGAAATGCCACTGAAAAAGATTTGCCCCACGAAACAGCTTTCAGTATGCTAAACTACTGTAGTCAGGCCAAACAAACAGGCAGAAATAAAATAAAATTTGAATTTTTAATTAAAGAGATTTAAGCATGGGGAGCTGTAAAAAATTATTTCCTGGTAACTCCACAGTTTATCAATGAGCCTGTGTGATGCATGCAATCTGCTGAGATGTTACATTGACTAGCTCTCTGGCAGCTTTTCTTCTATAATAAGAGATTTAGTGAGAAAAATGGAGATGGACAGCTGTGTAGTTCTCTGAAGGAATTAGTGATGATAAAATGATAAGTTGAGAAGATGAGATAAATTTATTATCAAGGTTTACTTTATTTAGATAGAAAAATATAATGCAAAGATCCCGTACACCTCAAAATTAAGACAAGATGCAAATACTGATTTATAAAACTAAAATCT